CAGAAGGTTTATAAAAGATTACCAGTAGTTACCAATCTCTTATAATCAAGCCTAACAAGTTAAATTTTTTCAATACTTAACTTTTCCATTTATAAGATAAGAGGATGGACACATTATAGAGAAAAACAGATTAAACCTCCAAAAATAACTCTGATTAAGAATTTTAGCCTTGTTAGACCATAGATTCCTCATTAGGGAAGTTATGTTATTGTACTGCATGCTTCTTAGCTGATCTCCAGTGCTGAACTTCATGGTTTCATCATTTTAACTTTTGGAGAACTTTGTGATCTTTCAGATTGGTAATAGTATATTGGTATTTGTTATTAGGTGCTGTTGAGTTAGTTCCAACTCATTGCAACTGTATGAACGAAAAACTGCCACCTGTACTACCCTCACAATCATTGCTACGTTTGAGCTCATTGTTGCAACCACTCTGTCCATCCATCTCATTGAAGGGTGTCTTCTTTTCCCCTGACCCTTGACTTTACCAAGCATGACGTCCTTCTCTTACTATCTGAGGCTAATAACAATTAATCATCAATGGCTTATAAAACTTATCAACTTATAAAACTTTAACTAGACAAATGGTACAACAGATCAAATACTGAGCCCTGGGGTGGCACTATAGTGTGATAAGCACTGGACTGCTAACCACTCTAACAGCAAAGTTGACAGTTCAACCCACCAGCTGCTCTCAGGAGCACTATAAGTATATATATATCAGTATAAGAAACAGGAGAGGGTCACTATGAGTCAGAACCAACTTGACGGCATATAACAAAAACAAGAACAAATCAAATACTAGAATAGTCTTAAAAACAAGTGTTTATACCTAATATATGACTAGATGTTCTTGGTCCTTAAATTGAGATTACTATTCCACTCATTTGAGGAAAACCTCATGAAAAGAATGGGATTTGAGGGATTAAAACTTTTCCATTTATTCTTAAATGCCCAGGATCAATTAGGCTCGTTGACACTGCTGGGTTTCTGTGGCTTTCCTAGTGAGAGACAACTTACACACCTCCCTTGCAGCATACTGATTATGAGAAACATATTTCCCTGCCCCCATTAAGAGGCTTTAGTGAAATATTAAAAAAAAAAAAAAAAAGAAAGAAAGAAAGCAGGAGAGTATTACCAAAGCAGATATCCTGGCTATGTAAACTTCCCCTATGCAATTATGTCTTATCCATTTACTAACTTATTCTTTAAAGTCACACAAATATTAGCATGAACCCTGGCTAAATAATTACAATGTACCATTCAGGAATTTGGAGGTGAAAGGAATTTGGGGTAAAATAAAACTAATGATAAGTGGCCTAAAAGAACTGATTTAAAGAAAATAAAGAACAGATTGGATAGAAATATTTATTTTGAACATAAACGAGATAGGGGTAAATCCTTAGAGAACCTCCGAAATGAACTAGCGCATCCTGCTAATAAGAATTAAAGGGTTCCAAGTGAACATGCACATGTAAGTGACATTTGATGTTACATCTAATGGCCTCATTAAAATTTGATCAGCTTTAGATATTTCCACTAAGGAAATTTAAAATGAAGAAATTACCATTATGGAATATGATCAGCTTACTCACTGTCTTAGTCTGTGCTTACCTACAACATTCAGACATGAAATTTAAGATGTAAATTTAAATTTTATGTCCTCAATCTATCTCTCAAAATTAAAAGGAATGTAGATTATTTATTTTAATTAATATGAAAAGGCAAGTATTTCATTGTTTGCTACCTCAAGCATAGCTTGTTTTCAGTTGAGAATTTCCAAAGCATGACATAAAACCATGACAGTGCAATTTTAGGCCAGATATGTAAAAAGCGATGAGTCCTTAGAGTAGTGGAGTCCCGCATTCTGGGAGTTATTAGAATAGTTCATAGTAAATTTCAACAGGCTCTTCCTATTCTTTGGGGTTTCTTACCTCCAGGAGAGATGTAGAAACAGTTGAGTTGAGCTTCATGCACCAAAGTGCCCTTAAACTTCACTTCTGTTTCGGCCGACAGGTGACTGGCAAGTGGCTGGTACGCAGGTGTAGCAGGCTGGACAAAGGCTTGAAGCATTGTAAATTTCCAAATGTGTACTAAGAGCTGTGTTGATTTTTAAAAATAAATAAATATCCTATTATGAGCTTTTCTTGTAATTTTTTAAAACCCAGAAACCATGCCTATAGATCACCTTTCAGTGCTACAAAAGTTTACACCGCCATGTCACATTGCTGCAAACTTAGGTTATGGTCATTACTTTTATGTTTTAGAAATCTAAAAAGCAGACCTTCTTCCTTGGTTCTTTTCAGTCTGGTCTCTTTCTTTCTGCAGTGCTTACTGCCTGTGTAGGCCTGGACCTCTCACCCAGTAGCATTACAGGAAAACTTGAATTGAAATGTGAAGTTAATGGTTTCTGTCAGCCTGTCAGCTCATCACCTCCCTAAGGCATGATGATCTCTGGTTTTCATATATCACCACGAGCTGCTTTGATATACCCTCTTGTGTAGAAAAGTGATAAGTTTGGCTGGAGGTTGGGAAACCTTGGGCCTAAGAGGCAGAAAACTTCAGTTGGAATGTGCACTTTAATGTAATTCACTGCCCCTTTCCCAGTGGAATGCAGCTCAAGTGGCAAAACTATTTTAGGAAGAGAAAAACTAGACCCAGTTCTACATTTTACCTCGGGGCCACCTTTCAGAATCCAGGCCTGTTGGTAAATCTGTTTGCTTGATCTTCTTTTTCTTTCTTTCTTGCCTATTTAAGTTTTAGGTTCAAGATAAATATGAACAGGTATGAAAAGAGGAGCCCTAGTGGTGCAGTGGTTAAACGCTTGGCTGCTAACCAAAAGGTCGGTGGTTCAAAACCCCTGGCCACTTGAAGGAAGAAAGATGTGGCAGTCTGCTTCTGTAAAGATTTACAGCCTTTGGAAACCCTATGAGGAAGTTCTGCTTTGTCTTACAAGGCCACTACAAGTCGGAATTTTGACTCAACAGCAGTGGGTTTGGGAACTAAAAGAACTATTTCAGGATGATCACGTTTTCATTTTAAAGCCATGCTGCTTTAGAGATCAGTGTCCCTGTCCTAAGGAAGTCTTCAGAGTGTCTTAAAGTAATACTACAAAGGCAGTCCTTTTCCTTCATTCTGCTTTGACATTTGAAAGATGTTCCCATAGCATTTCCCTTCCCAAATCTGCATATCAGTTCCTCATGGGTGTGACAATGTCAGACTGCTTTGCTAGTTGTATCAACACTTTCCTTGGCATACTCCTCTTATGAAAACCTAGTTCCTTATGTCAGATGCCACAAATGTGTAATACCACAAGAATGACACCCAAAATATTTCTATTAATGTATTCTACTGATGAAACACTTTTCCTCTGCCTTTGTGTTCGTGGGCTTTGGGTTCCTTAGTTCTGCCAGGTTTTCCTTCTCTGCTACTATCCTTCTCCTTTGACAGTTTTGGGAAATTCAGACTCTGATGACAGAAAATTCTCACTATAGTCAAAATATAGACCAGGCTTCTCGTTCTGTAATAAGATTAAAGCCACCACAACACACAAATGTATTATGACTTACAAGTGGTTGAATATCAGTATTCTACTTTTTCTGGCAACGTGAGGCTGGGTAAATTAGGGTGACAGGAACCCATGTGGGAATCAGAGTATTGAATTTGTGTTGGTGGACTGGAGACAACTTTGAATAATAGTAAGTTTGGAGAAACACATTTAACGATCTTGAGTTGAAAGAATCTCTTTTTGTTATAAAGGCTTTCCTGGATAAGCACTGGTCTGCGAACCACAAAGTCAGTGGCTCAAACCTACCAGCTGCTCCTTAGTCTCTGAGTCAAAACTGACTCCACAGCACTTAACAACAAATAGCAACATCATATTATTGCCACTATTTTCAATAAAGGTTTTTAAATTGTAAATGTAGTTAATGCATTATTTACATGATTAATGCCAGCAGATCCTCAACTAGATGTATATAAATGTATTTTGAAACTGTTTCAGCCTTTGCCGTAAAAATGATGTACGTGGGCACATCATAAAGCATACCTTTAGTTATTATGATTCATTATTAAACGAATCAATAGCAGCTATATTAGACCACATTTTTCTTTCATTACTAAATGATTAAACCATAGTCATATGTAATCCTTCACCAGCTATAGGTTTCTGACATGTTGAAGTCAGAAATCTATTATTAAATTTTATTTTTGCCAGCATCCTATTCTGACTTATAGTTTACAAAGTCAGTTTCCAGTTAACATATTCCTGGGGTGGGGGAGCAGTTTCTAAGCATAATTTATGTATCGAGTTCCTGAATACTTACGAATAAAGATAACGTATATTTATTAAATGTGTAAATGGAGTATCGAAATGATATTCCAAAGCCAGGAAGCCCAGAAATTTTTATTTCATTTTCAGTATGTATTCATTCGTTTAGGAAGCATTTGTGAAATATCTGTTGTGTTCAGGTGCTAAATTTTCAAGGAAAACACACGTTATTAGATAGGTGTATCTGCACAAGGAGCTTCCAAAATTTCATTGGAAAATGGAATTAAAAGATACTGAAAATTTCCATGAACTTTTTGAAGCCCCTTTATATACGTGGAGTCTTAGTGACATAGTGGTTAAGCACTCAGCTGTTAACCTAAAGGTGGACAGTTCAAACCCACCAGCCACTCTGAAGGAAAAAGATGGGACATTCTGCTTCTGTAAAGATTTACAACCTTGGAATCTGTGTGAGGCAGTTCTATTCTGTCCTACAGAGTTGCTATGAGTCAGTAACCACTTGATGGTAGTGGGTTTTTTATCTCTTGTGTGTGTTTGTGTAAGACCACTACAGATTTCTTTGTGGACTTAAACAATTCAGTGGTAGATTTTCAAATTTTAACTCTGGTGATTGTTTTCACTTATATAATAAGTGTACATTTCCCTTTAGAATGGAAAAGGTCATTTTTAGTTTTAAAGATGCTCATAATTTGTTTGATGTGTTCTTTTGCAGTGGCCATTTATGGAATTTGGTTTTATGATAAAGAAGAATGCCAAAGAATTGCAGAGCTTATGAAAAAGTAAGTGCTGAAGGTTAAGTATTTTTCAGAATCTGGTGGTGGTGCTTTCGTGGGAGAAGACGAGGTTGCCGGCTCCCATGAAGATTTCCAGTCTGAGAAATCTGTATAGGGCAGTTATGAGTCAGAATTGACTTAAAGGCAGTGGGTTTTTTTGTTTGGTTTGATGGTGCTTTTGTTTATATTTCTAAATATATTTCTATACTACAATTTTAATAGACTGTATTTCTTACTGAAATCCTGTTCAGTGGTCCTAAAAGCATGTAATATTACTCAATAAATGAAAAATAGACATAAGAAAGGACTTGCTATATTTTTATTAGGTAAGATTGATCATCTAGAATGACTCATTTTTTTCTGACTATGTGAAATATATGTAATATGAATTCTCCCAAATGGCAGTTTTCCTTAACATTTTCCATATTTATAAACTACCCCTTTTTTTTTTCTTTCCTTTTAAAAATAAGTGATCAATATGTACATTAGTAAAGAGAGCATTTGGAGCTGTTCTTAACAGGCTGCTTCAGATTCTCTCAAATCTTTCATTTGTTTCCTGTTTAAAATACTTATCCAGTAGCTCTGGTGGTACAATGGGTTAAACATTGAGTTACTAACCACATGGTCACCAGTTCAAACCCACCAGCCACTCTGGGAGACAGATAAGGCAGTCTGCTCCCATAAAGATTTACACTCTCAGAAACCCTAAGGAACAGTTCTGCTCTGCCCTGTAGTGTTGCTGTGTGTTGGAATCAACTGTCAGTGGGTTTGGTGTGAAATGCATATTCATGCCTGTGTAACTGTCACTTCCTATTTGTAGAAGCTAACGATTCTGTCACTTGTCTCAAATATTGTATGTACTTTTCGTTTCTTTGGAAATGTTTCTTAATTTAGTGATCAGTAGACAGTCTCTCTTATTATTAATCTCTTTTTATTTTAATCTCATAACTCTGATTGTTGGGAAACAAATTCCTGTCCTGACTTTCCCACTCTTTGCTTCCCTGATGACACTGAAAGAAGACCCTCTATAATTGGTCAACTCTCTGATCTGCTCCTGAGCCCACATGGCTGCTTATTTGGAGGCAGCTATTTTTCTGCTATTTAGGGCAATGGGTAAGAAAGAGCCTCAGAATGAAATGAGTTTCCTACATGTGCTGTATCTCAGCCCCGTGACTGGCCTCAGTTGAGCACAGCTGCTGCCCACACTAATGTGACAGAGAACCCCCCGGCCCCCCCCCCCAAAAAAAAAAAAAACTCACCAAATTTCCAGTTTTAAGTCCTGGGGCAATGAAATGACTAAAAAGTAACCCAAAGGCAATGAAAAGTGGGGAGTACCTTTTTATATATAAATAAGCCTTGATTCCTGAAACTCTAGCTTGTGATAGCTAATTGTAGGTAACTAACTCAAGTTGCAGTTGGTGATTAAGTGTGTTCAAACTGGTATTTACCACTGTAACAGCTAGTTTCTAGAACATTCATGTTATTGTAAACTGTGCACTGGATTATAATAGCAGGATTTCATATAGATTAAAAAATACCCTGTAGCTCAGCCAAGAGGCCTTGTTAAAATTGTCAGCGATCGGCAGTAATTACTTAGCAGCTGGGGCAGGAAACTGATTGCTCACCAGCAATAAGCAGCTGATGTGTGTGGATTCAGACCCCTGCTCCAGTTAGAATGAAATTTCTCAATTAATTCTCAGGTTATTTTTTTTTTTTAAAAAAAACAAAACAACAAACAAACCATAAATGCCCTGCCGTAATAAAAGAACTTTAGTGGAAAGTCCAAGCACATAAAAGAAGTCTCTTTCTCAGCATCACCTAGCAGCAGATAGGTGCTTTCAGGGTAACAAAATCAGGGCTTCAAACTGGTTCATTCCAGTTAAACAACCTGCTAAGGATTTGCCTTTCTATCCAGGAGATATTGAATCAGATTCTACATTTTAATGAGGTCCCCAGGTAACTCTTATACCTACCCCACCCCACCCCACCCCACCCCACCCCAGCATGATTCTTATAGACCTGCAGGTGATTCTTACTGAGGATTCTTGTGACAAATAATTCTTATGTATACATCAAAGCATCTGGGGATCCTGTTAAAATTAGTATATCTGGTGTGGAAATGCAAATTCTCAGCAGTGAATCAACCCAGGATGGACCAGTTCAAAGGCCAGGTTGCAGCTGACTGATTCTTCTTTATAGTGCAAAAGCAGCTTTACATACATAAATGAACAAGTGTGATTGTGCTGCTATAAACATTATTTACAAGAATTGGTAGTGGGCCAGATTTTGCCCCTAAGTCATAGTTTGCTAGCTCCTACTCTAGACTCCTGTACGTAGTGTATGTGGTAGTTATGTGCCGTGGAGTCGGTTCTCACAGCTACTCTGAATTGGGTTTCTAAGGCTGTAAATCCTTACTGGAGCAGAAAGCCTCATCTTTTTCCACTGGTAGTTTCAAACTGCTGACCTTGAAATTAGCAGCCTGACTCCTAATCGCTATGCTACCAGAGCTCCTTTAACAATGTACACAGGTCCCCAAATCTCACTTTTCCTGTTTCTAAGTACTCTTTTTCTCTATGATTGTTGCTGTTGTTTATTGTTAGGTGCTGTTGAGTCAGTTCTGACACATAGCGACCCTGTCCTGTATAGGGTTTCCAAGGAGCGGCTGGTGGGTTATAACAGGATGAAAATACCTGGTTGAGCATTGTGAGATGGTTGTCAAATTCATTTGTGTTGAGTTGGTTTTTCTTGTATGGGTTTCTGCCTCTGCTTTTTTAGCCTAACTCAGTATGAACAATTGAAAGCTCATCAAGGAACAGGAACAGGAATCTCCCCAATGATCCTCAATTCAGGAGAGGGCAAGGAAGTAGATATCTTACGAATGCTCACCAAGGCCAAAGATGAATACACAAAGGTGAGTTTTTGCCCTTTCTTGTAATACATATCTAAATCCACAGGGGTAGTCTGCCCTTTAAGAAAGATTAGATGCTGTTTCATTCAGCGCACAGACTCGTATCAAAAAAAAAATCTTTTATTTGCTTTCAGTAGGCTAACAGAGACTATTAGTTGATCAGAAGTGAAAAGGTAGTCTGAAAATTCAATAGGGGTTCCCAGGAGCAGCTGGTGGGTTGAACCGCCGAACTTGTAAGTTAGCAGTCCAGTGCTGATCCTACAGCGCCACCACCTCAGGAGTCCATAGAGGATCCAGTTAGAAGATTTGTGAGAGTTAAAAGGCCCCATTTACAGTCTCTTCTTGTTGCTGCTGTGGAGTCGGCTCCTTCTCACGATGACCCGGCATGGCTGTTGAGGCATTAAGTACACGCGGGACTAGAAAGCCTCATCTTTCTCCTGCATAGCGGCTGGCGGGCTGCAGTCACCGACCTTGTGGTTCTCAGTCCGGTGCTTATCGTATGGAGCCACTACTGATCATCCAGCAACAAACATAAAACTTCTTTGAATGCGGAACATAAGAACAAAGGAAGACACCAGAAGTTTTTGCAAAATATATTCAATTGATCAGATCTTGGCAAAATTGAACCTGAATTGGTTAGGCGCATTTTATGTGCCATCTCCAATGCGACTCCTTAGAGACCCAGCTTGGTTCTTCTCCAGTGTCTTCTCCTGGAGTTGTACCTGATTCTGTTACCAGTTTTCATTCGAATCCACTGGGGAATGGGACGATTCTGCTTTTGTTTCTTGGCCAGGAATCTCTTGATTCTGAAAGCCTTATGAGACGACATAGCGAAGACGCCAGGTACCAGCACGGACAAGATGGCGGAGAGAGACAGCGAAGGGGAAACTGCCGGAAGTGTGTGTGAGAGAACGCCCAGCGTGGGGTGGGGCTGGGGAAGTGACGTCGCAACCAGCCCGGCTTGTGTGCTCTTTGGGCGGGGAGAAGCAGTGGAGATCTGTGGGAAATTGAATTCGCTGTGATTCAACTTCCACAAATGGGTTCCTGTCAGTCGGATAGGGTCACAGCAGTTTAGTGGGTGAGACAGACAGCTATACTCAGTGCAAATGTGGAAGCCTCTCCTAATGCAGCACAGGAGGCGGAACTAACTCCTATGAGGAAAACGTTTAAACATTCCTGAAAAGCATAGAAATAGACATGCGCAATGGAAATCCCTTAGATAACAAAATTTAACATAAAGCTGCCAAACTAATGGTGGTGGTGTGCCATGGAGTTGGTTCCGATTCAGCGACCCTGTATAGATTTCTGAGGCTGTAAACCTTTACAGGAGCAGAAAGCCTAACCTTTCTCCTGTGGAACCGCTGGTAGTTTCCAACTGCTGACCTTGAGGCTAGTAACCTGAGTCGTAACCACTATGCTACTGAAAAGGGTACAGTAGTCGCCTTGAAAGGACCACTGACCAAAGCATCAAAAAGAACAAACACATTGAGTATTTTAAAATGTATGAAATCATGGTGATGAGAGAGAGCAAACCATACAAACAAAAATATATATGTACATATAATCTAAAAAATGCATGAGCTCTAATAGTGTAGTGGATTACGAGCTGGGCTGCTAACCACAGGTCAGTAGTTCAAAACCACCAGTTGCTCTGAGGAAGAAAGATGAAGCTTTCTGCTCCTACGAAGATTTACAGCCTCGGAAACCCTACACAGGGTCACTGTGAGTTGGAACGGACTTCAGGGCACATAACCATAATAATATAAAAAATAAGTTTTGGTATCATTGGAGATGCTAGGTACTGACTCCTCCTCACTTTGAAAGTCAGTAATTGATTGGAAAGAATTAAGCATTTATCCTGCCTGCCCTCTGTGGACCATATTTCAGAGTAATCAAATAGCCCCAAGCCAGCTAATGTACATAGAATGATACAAGTTAAAAACACCCTAATAAAATCATGGATTCAGACAGTGATCCTAAGTAATGTTAAAAGTATGAGAAATAGTGTTGGGAACGTGATCATGGGAGGGTCAGACTGCTGCTACTTGACCCCACTGATCAAAATCATTAAAAGTTGGATAACCAGATAGTATGCTTCCTAATGTGATGTAATGTGAAATATACAGCTACCTGAACTATTCTTGTTGATCTGAATCTAATTAAGTCTTGAGCTTTAACTTCCTAGTTTGTAGAAAGTGGGGGAGGTCAAGTTGAAAAACAAATGATGCCACAAGGAAGCAACCAGAAAAATCCTGAATGAAATTGTTGTTGTTAAGTGCCATCTAGTTGGTTCCGATATATATAGGGTTTCCCAAGAGTAGCTGGTAGGTTTGAACTGCCAGCCTTGTAGTTTGCAGTCCATTGCTGATCCTACAGCACCACATTAGAAGTACTCTGATTTTGAAGTTATTGTTGTTAAGTGCCATTGAGTTGACTTCAAACCATAGCTACCCTGTATAGGGTTTCCAAAGAGCAGCTGGTGAGCTTGAACCACCAACCTTGCAGTTCAAATGGCTTTGCAGTCTGCTTTACCCCACAGCGCCACGCCAGGACTCCTGATTTTGAAGTAGAACATGCTAAAGGCCAGTTGACTCAAGATGTTCAACAAGGCTTTGACTAGATTTTTTACTTGATTGTTATAACTGTGAGCTTCTTGAGTGAAAAGATCCCTTATTCACCTTTATATCCCTAATTTTCTTCTAAGAACCTGCCATACAGTAAATACTAAATCAATGATTGTTGAATGAATAAATGAGGGAATAAATATGAATAAGCTACAGTGCCATTACTCTTCCGTCCTAGAGCCTGGATGGAAATTCTCTCATCTCAACTTCAGTCAGTAACTACTATTTCTGCAGTAGTTATTGATTTTGTTTAATTGATAAAAATCATTAAAAGGTATCCCGATGACTTGGTAACTTGCCAAATAATGAAATGAGTGCATGTTATTAACTGAATCATATTACCCAAACCATACAAAACTCCTTGGTGCTGAGTCAATTTAGACATATAGTGACCCTGTAGGACAGAGTAGACCAGCCCATGTTGTTGTTGTTGTTGTCAGGTGCCATCGAGT